TTTGCTTTGCTTTGCTTTGCTTTGCTTTGCTTTGCTTTGCTTTGCTTTGTTCTGTTTTGTTTGATACAGGGTCTCTCTATACAGCCCTGGCTGTCCTGAAACTCTTCATGTAGTCCAGACATAGCGATCCACCTGCCTTTGTTTCCCAAGTGCTGGAAATGTGATGGAGAAGTATATAAACACAAACCAAAAGTCTATCATTTGAGGAGATCAGAATTCCTGTAGAATTTACCCATCGAGCTCAAGTAATAAACATCTTGTCTACATGACAAGATTCTGAATATTTTGTCAGTAACCGATAAAAGGAAACAAAGGTATCCTCACCTCCTTACTAGCAGAAACAGAGTAACTATGCCAGAAGAAGCCTGGATTCTGAGGATTCCTTCAAAAGAGGGTTTACTCCTAAACATGTCACAAATGAACTGTTTACCAAAGATTTTTACAACAGTCACGGGCATACCTTGTCCAACTTCACGAAGGTCACCTACAAAGAGAAGGAAAAGTAGTCTCCCTTGTCACAGTCTCATAGACATCCACAGCCCCAGGGCCAGTTTTAGAAATTCCTCCTTTCCCAGCATCTAGAAACTTCTTAAGTAACCGCCAGTTGTATCTTCACTTCTAAGACTTACCCCAATACGGATAAGACAGAAAAATCATCCCCAGCACCAACAGAGCACACATCCTGCAACCCTTGTCTTCAGCAGCTTCCTGTGGGAGGTACTGACTCTTTTCTCACTTGAGAGGAGAGGCTGGCCTGTCCTTGGGACATTTGTCTAAATTACATCATTATTAATTTTCCAGGACAGACAGTACTTCTCAGTTCTCAGAATCATCGTGCCTGACTCCCTCAGGACACACTCCTGGATCTTAAAAGTTGTGACCTCCCTGATTCCCCAAACCTGCTCCTGTTTCGGGCTGCAGGGCTTGACAAATCTTGGAGTTGGTTGTTAGAACTCCATTTGTCCCATCCTTAAAGGAGAGTGAGAGCAAATCTCATCCATTCTACCTACTGGCTTCTCCACAGCTGCATAGATTTTTCTCTATCTCCACTACCCTTGCCATCAGCTGAGCCATCATTATCTTGACCGGCCAATAGCTTTATTATTTGGAATCCTTGCTTCTACTCTTGCCCCTTCATGGTGATTTCTCCAGGTAAAAACAGGAGAACCTTTTATAAGTCATAGATGCCATGTTGCCAATCCAAACCTTCCAAGGACTTCTCAGCATATTTAGGAAAAATTCTCAAACTCTTTCAGCTGATAAGGCACTTCCAGGGAAAATAAGTAATAACTACCTCTTCAGTGTCTTTCCCAGACATATTGACGTTGCTGGCTTAAGTCCTGACTCAGATGCCACCCAAACCGATACAACAGCATTATCTCAGCAGCCTGGGGAAAACAGCACCTCCGGGTCCCTTCCTGTCTCACTACCTGGCCTTGCATATCTGTTTCTTAACATCTTGGCTCTTTCACTAGGACAAAGCAAGGCTTTTATTTTATTTAGCATGACACACCCTGCATCTGGGGGCTTTGACTATAGAAAACATCTGACAAACATCTGTGACATGAATGAATGATGGTCTTGTCGCATCTACTTTTGCATTCATAGTTCATTTTCCTTGCTGAGCCAGCAAGTTTATCAGATTGATTTTCTTTTATTTTTGAGAATATAGTATAAATATACCATTTCCCCCTTTCCCTTTCCTCCCTCCAAACTCTGACATATTCCCCTCCTTGCTCACTTTCAAATTCATTGCTTTTTTTCATCAGTTGTTGTTACGTGCATATGTATATGTTTGTGCATAAATGTTTCTAAACATAACCTACTCGTTCTGTATACTACTAGTTGCACATATAGTTTCGGGGCTGACTTTTGGATATTGGATAACCATGATGTGGTCTTCTCTAGGAATGACTGTTTCTCCCACTCTGAACATTTCTTCGTTGCTTGTAGTTCTTGATTAATGGTTGAGGCCTCATGGACTTTCCCCATCCACTTTGGCATGGCTGTTGCTATTGTCCGTGTTTGGCTCATGTTTAGGCAGTCATGTTTGTGACACCTTATGTGTGTGACTTCTAACGTTTCTGGAAGACACAATCTCACAGCAAACTCCCTTTTCCTCTGGTTTTCACGATCTTTCTGGTCCCTCTTCCCCAATGATCCCTGGGTCTTAAGTGTGGGAGTTGTATTGTAGATATATCAGTGGGACTGAACTCCACAAACATTGCGTTTTTGATTGGCTGTGGTTTTCTGTAATGGTCTTAAAATGCTGCCAAGAGAAGTTTCCTTAATGAGAGGTGAGGACCACACTTCTCTGTGGGTAGGACATATATCTAGGGATTTATGCTAGCTTATAAAATGGTAGTTCTAGATTCTCCTCCAAAATCCATGACTTCACTATCCTCAGGTAGTTAGCTAGGTTTCCAGTATCCAGCATGAGTTCCCACTTGTGGAGTGGGTCTTCAGTCCAATTGGAGAGCTGTTGCTTACCACCCAGGCATGTGCACCACTAGTGCTTCCTTAAGGTTATCGTGGCCATATTGGTCATTGCTGTGGTTCGTAGGCATCATAGCTAGGTAGAACTATTGACTGCTTCCCTCCTTTGGAAGCTCACATGGTGACTTCTGGTACCAAGAAAGCTAGTCCTCAGGGAAGAGGCATTCTGGTCAGATCCAATTCGTGGGCCTCTGGGTTTTGTACCTGAAAAGCAAGGTGTCTTCGGCCATAAGGGCTTACCTTCCAATTCTGGGGAGGCAACCGAGGGCAATGGTGACAGTCTTTACATTTAGGGAGTCTCTTGGTAAATCCTGTCCAAAAACTAAAAAGAGAGCTTCTTGTGCCTAGGGTTGAAGTTTTTGTTCGGTTGTCTTTGTTTCTTGGGGAGAGCATTGTCAACCAAAATAAGAAAGGTTTTTTTAAACTATGTATGTATATTTATTTACTGACTTATACATATTATAAGGTTTTTAGGTAAATAGCTTATAGAATTATTCCTTATGACTTTTTCAACATCCTTATTGTTATTTTACCCTCCTTCTACAATACCTTCCCCCTCCATATTTAGTTCCCTCCTCCCTTTTATTCCATTTCCCCAGTCAGATCACCTGTTCCCTGCTATGACCCTCTCTATTGTTTGCCCATTCCCATACCCTAGCAATGGTCCCTTTTTACTTTCCTAATTAAAAAAAAAATGCAATCAACATGAAATAGTAAGTTAGGGCCCCGCCAGCCCGCTTCATGGGCTGCCTCTTTGGGCGCGCCCTGCTGCGGGCCTTGTTGTGTGGGCCATGCATTCCAGGCCTGCTGGTGCATCCCAGTTCCCGAGGGCCTTCCTGGCCCCAGACGCATACCCTGGTTGTGGTGAAGCCTGATGGGGTGCAGTGGAGGCTAGTGGGGACTGTGATACACAGCTTTGAGAGGCGGGGCTTCAAGCTGGTGGGGATGAAGATGTTGCAAGCACCAGAAAGCATCCTTGCTGAGCACTACCGGGACCTGCAGAGAAAGCCATTCTACCCAGCTCTTATCAGCTACATGAGCTCTGGGCCTGTGGTGGCCATGGTCTGGGAAGGGCACAATGTGGTCCACATCTCAAGGACCATGATAGGACACACTGACTCAACCGAGGCAGCCCCTGGGACAATCCGGGGAGACTTCAGTGTTCACATCAGCAGGAATGTCATCCATGCTAGCGATTCTGTGGAGGGTGCCCAGAGGGAGATCCAGCTGTGGTTTCAGAGCAGCAAACTGTTAAACTGGGCAGACGGCGGTCACCACAGCAGCTGCAGCCCAGCCTGAGGGTTTGAACTGCCCACTGTTCTTCAGGGTTCATCCAACCCTGCCAACAAGAACCCAAGCCCATACTCTTCCCATCTTCAAAACCACACCCTGTTCACCTTTAGTCCAACTCCAGCCCAGGGGAGTCTAAGTCTCAACTTTAGGTGCCTTGTATCCTAAACCAGCACAATATTGGATCATATCCTTCTGTACCTAAGTGCCAGACAACCTTTCAGACATTATCAGAGGTGATTTTGCCTGCTCCAAAGGAGAGACATTAAAATCTTCTGCTTTAAACGGGAAAACAAAAAGAAATAGTAAGTTAGTCTAAGTGGAAATAAATATTTGGATTTTAAGAAAAACCACTCCTTCAGTTAATTACACACTTCAATAAAACGATGGATAATAAATTAAGTAGAACTCAGTGATTTTTAAGTAAAAATCTAACTCTGTTAGAGCATGCCAGTTAAATATTAATGACTAAAACTTTCCAAGTAAGAACAAAGGAGGCAAATCACAGTGTTGCCCTTCTTGCTTAACCAGTCAAAAGAAACATAGTTACTATAAATACAGCAGGTGAACTACTGGACTGACAAATTCAAAGCCAGGTGTACTGAATTCTAGTCTCCAGCTGCACTAAATGGTCATCATTAGTGTGGCACATCTTGATCCACAATGTGGCCTAATGTCAGGACAGGTCACTCATGGTTACAGAAAGACATAGACATTGTCTTGTTTTTAAGCCAGGCATATGCCCACACAGAAAGAAAGGTATTCTTGGGAAGAACTTTCAAGAAGTAGCCTGGAATGCCCTGGGTAATGTGAGGCTTTCTATGATGAGGTGCTGGGTGAATCGGAAGAAAAGTCTATCTTAAACTATCATCTAACGCCATGATAGCTCCCTGGTTCCCACAATGATGAAAGTAATTGTACACAAAATATAAGAATCATGTTTCAGTCATGGCACCAATCTATTACAAGCTGGTGAGCAGGACAAGCTAACATGATACTATTGGCATAGTTAAATCTTTCAGAAATGTCTTACCAAATGTGTACCCTATCCCCCGAAATCATCTCAATCCAACCATAACAGATCATACATTGGTTCCTCAGGTGAAATTTCTTACAAACAGCCCAGGACTCTTATACCACCCAGTATGTCCATGGATGGAAGAGGCCATCGTGGACACAGAGTATCTGTCCATCTTTTACATCTCTAAGTGGAAGACAATCAAATAGATCCGAAAAAATATATTCACACATTGGTACTTCCATAATTTTATAGATATTAACAATAAAAGTCATGTACTTGAGTGACTTCTCTGTTTTGGCTTTCTAGACAATACTATAATACATTCTGAAGATAAAACTTTCAGTGCTACCAGAGCAGTCATAGGCTCCAGGGAATAATTACCTCTGTTTGCATGTCTCTGTGATTTTCTACCAATTCTAAAGGGTTCCATTAGGTCATAGAATTGACCATGTCTCCACAGATGGTATAAAGTTAGTGAAGTTCCTATATGTTGTTTTAGTTCTTTGCTAAATTTTCCTTAACTTTCATACACAGCATCCACAAACATTAACCCATGGATTCAACTCCTTAGTGAATGTCTTGTCGCCTGTGGGTGCCCACTCTAATTCCTTGATGACTCCTTCTCCCTTTCCTCACTGCCCCCACCACTGGCTGCTTGGTTCCTGGCCACTGCATGTTCCTGGAAGAGTATCAGAAAGACCCACTTCTTCTAACAGGGAACCTGGGGATTAGAAAAGGGAATGGGGAGGTGTGGAGAGGCGCTATAGAGCACAGTTCTTGCCCACTGCTGCCATCTGCCAGCCTTTCCTGGCTCTTGCTTATTTCCCCAACAGAACTCTCTTGATAAAACAATTGCATCCCAACAAAACACAGAATGTCGTGTCTGAAATGCTGAGAAGTCCCTATCAATACTCTTCCAAACCTCTCTATTTTCTCATCAACCAAAGGCAAAATAGAAACCTGTGATTTCTTCCTTCACTCTGTGT